TAGAAACACAAGAAAGTGCTGAAACCCCCCAACAAACGATTATACACTGACCACCAGCCCCTCCTCCAGGTGTGCAGACCCCCAACATCAGCAAAGACCTCCAGTTTATAGCACTGTGTCTATTCATGTGTCTCTGCTAGGCCTGCACTGTAACTTCTCTGCTGACTTCAGGAGGAAATTACTATTTCCATAAGACACCTTTTCCTTTTCTTTCCTGCTTTGTCGTTCTACTTAATTACATAGAGTATCACAAACACTCTATTAGTGCTGCTCTGCTTTGGTGAGCTACATATAACAGTGTATATTAGAAGAGATTATTACAAGTCTGAATGTGTTCTTTACCACATTTGTGATATGACATTATCTAAATTGTGGGGAATGGAACAAATACATCCTAGGTGACAATCAACACAGTGACTGAGGTCAGGCTTCTGGTTTACTTCAGAGCTGCAGGGTATCTGTTTCTTTTTCCAGTTCAGGAGTGCCAGTGCTTCATCTCCCACCTGGTTCCCTTTCCATGTGTGACTACCCCACAGCAGCTGACAATTACTCACCCTCTAGCTATGGATGCTACCAATTCTTTCACAAAATACCTCGCAAACACAACCTTCCAGGAACTGTCTGAAAGGACAATGAGGAAGTGTCCACAGACACCTGTGCATTCCAGCCAGGTTCCCTGTGTCCTGCTCTCCACCATGGCAGCTCAGCTCCTTTCAGCAAACACTTCTGAACTGAGCGCTTTGTGTGCACTGTCCCAGCAGCACGGGTGTGACCCCATCCCTCCCTGTGCTACCAGCTGTCCCATTCCAGGCTCCCAGTGGGGTACAGCAGCCTCCAGACACCTGTTCCCCACGCCTGGCAGGGGCAGAGGAAGAGGATGAGGAGCTGATCCCACTGGAGCAGTTCCCAGAGGCTCCTGGCTGGAGCCCTGCTCTGGCCCTGCCCCGCTCCCAGTGCTCCCGTGTGAACCTGGAGCACATTTCTGGCTGCCAGCACAGGTGTGAACTGCACCTGGCAAGGCATTCCCTTTGTTCTGTGCCTTACCAACGGGAGCTCACAGGTGCTGTGAGGTGACACGACTGTCCCCAAGGGAAAGAAAGGCCCTCTGCTCCGGGGGTGCCCATGGCTGCTGTGCTCCAGTGAAATCCTACAGTGCCCCATCGCTTCCTGCAGCATCCAGGCTCTCCTGGCCAGCTCCATCTGCAGTCCCTGGGTCATCTCCTGGACTCTCAACATTCATCTTTCTAATGCCTTTCAAGGTCTAAATTATCTGGGGTTTTCTTTATGCCCTCTTATACCCTAAATGTGGCCCCACCTTCCATACACTCCAAAGTCCTTGAAAATTGAGCTCAATCCTGCTGAGCTACCCCAAAATCCACTGTAACCCCCTGACTTCTCATGGAAAGTCAAGATGTGCCTTATGGCCACCAAGATCTCCTTTATCAACCCAAACCTGCACACAGCTCAGCTCCAAGTCCAGCAGCACACTTAGTGCTGCAAATAGATGCAATTAATCATTCCTGCAAGCCAAATTTGAAGGGGGAATGAACAACACCCGCCTCAAACACTGCAATTTCTCTCTTGTAATCATGGACAGGAAGGAAGAACAACTCAGGAACACTGTAAGAAAGGTGTCCCTGCTCATGGCAGGGGTGTGAGACTCGTGACTTTTGAAGGTCCTCTCCAACCCTGCCTATTCCACAATTCCATTCTATGATTTTTAGACTAGGCTTCTATTTCCCAGGATAATGAAATTCATCAAAATTCCTCTGGACAGGAAAGACATGCAGGTTTTCTGTCCTCCCACAGCACAAGTACCTGGCTGTTATTCACAGCTGTTATGTCACTGCAACTGTACAAACCATACACTCCATGAAATACACTCAGCTCTCCTAACTCATACTTCATTTGGATGACTTACAGCAAAGAACAAGAAAATAAAAGATGCTCTGCATTTCTCCTTGTTGTCCACGTGCTTTCCCACATAGTCACAGCCAGCAGCCTGGTCCTGGAGAACGTGCACCACAGGAAATCATGCCATTTTTAGGCATTTAAAACCATCCACAGGTCATGCACTGAATGGGAATTTTTGGGAATTACTGAATGGGAATGATTTGTCTGTGCTACCACAGCTAAGACTTAAGGAGATGGATCTCAGGGAGGGAGGGAAGCAATAATTATACTAATTGGTCTTTTGTCAGTAACAGCTAATAAACACAAAGAAAAGCTACAATGAACTTCAGACCTGCCTTAGCCTGTCCTACCATTTGAAACAAAATTGGGCTTGGTTTTACTGGTGGAAACCTTCTCCCCCCTCCCCTCCCCCCACAGCCCCAATCAGTGGAACAGCAGAGAAAGGACAAATCCTCATCCTACTAATCTCTCTAATTTCCACCAACAGATTCCACCTAATTATTGGAGGCACCTAAACACTTTTGATGGCTGCACTGGTGCCCCCAGAACCACAGCCAGAACTTGCTCTAACTGCCATGGAAGCCTACACACCCAAGCTTTGCAGGGTGCTCAGACACACCAGGGAGGCTGGGGTCTTCCTCTCTGGCCTGTCCCAGCAAGCCCATCCCAAAGATCAGCACAGTGGCTGAGAGACTTGCTCTGGGACATAAAGGAGGAGTTCCTGACTATTGCATAATTTCCCAAGGCTTTTGTCAACAGCAGTGCTTATCACCTTGGATAAACCAGCAATATTTAATGCATACCAGAGCAGAGGTTAGGGCTAGACAGGGTAAACACACACCTGTGTAAAGAAGTCAGGACCTGTCTGCCTGCCGAGCTCCTCTGGCCACGCACTGGCTCTGGCTGCCAGGTGCAGCCCTGCTGCTGGTACAGAGGCACTGGCCAGGCTGAAAACCCCACAGCTCCACAGGGAACACCTGCTCCCTGCTGGCTCACTAGGCACACAACAGGGAAAACCAAAAATGTCCTCTGTGTGTCTTTGTGATGGCAGCCAACAGCAACTTCTGACCCACCAGCTGGAAGTCCTTTGAAGTGCTTCAAGGAAACGCTTTGGGGTCTCGTGTAAACCAGCACACTGCAGGAGAACCAGAGTCTGGACCATCTCCATGACAGCACTAAAAAGACACACAGATCAATAGCAGGGAACACCACAGATCACAGACGTGAACCAGAGCAGCGGAAAAAAAATAAATAAACGGGAAAAAATAAAAAAAACGGGGAAAAACTACCCCAAAAACCTTCTGAGTCACTAGGGGTTCTAGAAAAGGACCTTTCCAGGCCATAACAGGGAAATCGGTACAGGCAGAACCATCTAAAGCACGCACTGAGAGCCCCTCCCGGGCTGGAACAGCTCTGGAATGACCCCGGCTGGAGAAGGAGGGAATTGCAGCTCCTTTCCAAGGAGATCACACAGCTCCGGCCAGAGAGGGAACCGAGGGAGTCACGGGGCACAGCTACCAGTGGCTACTATACCTTTTTTCTAACATTATGCTAAATATGTGGCATAAGCCAAGGAGTGCTTCCCTTTTCAAGGCTAAGCCATCCCAGCACATTCCATCCTCTCTCAGCTCAGGCACAGATTTAACCTTTTGTGTCACATTTCTCCCTGAAAATCCCAAGTAGAAAAGCACACAGGACATTTGCCAGGCAGCAGAAATTGTGACCCTTTTAAAGCTCATGCAAAACCTTGTTCACATCTGCTGTGGAACCATGCTGGACACAGCATTTCCTCTGCCCATTACCCAGCCATAACATAATAAAAAATAACCCCAGAAAATGGAAGGGATGGAGAGGAATAACACTTCTATTTCAAGCAGAAGTTATACAAAATAACCCTAACAACAACATATTTCTCACTGTCAAGAAATTTCTCATCAAATAATCTTTCTCACAACGTTCCGCCTGAGGTTTTCCTTCAAAATAACAGGTTTTGTTTTTCAGATTAAGTATGAAGCTATTACATTTATCATGTCACAGGTACTCACAGAAACTCTTCCAGCACAACTTGCTGCTCCTCTCCCTGCTGGGCCTTGCAAGAAGTTATCATTCAAGTCTTGTAAGAAGTTATCATTCAGGTCTTGTCCCATGCTTCCCAGTGACCTCGAGGAAAAAAAAGTACAACTCAGAACGGTTTTACACGGGTTTCCTGCTCACTGTGGGGTTAAGGGTTTTATAAGGAGAGAATCCTCAGCCTATTGGAGCCCCCGTCTCACCCTGTTCTTGTAAGCTTGTACAAACTTTGAGCCACTCTTCGAGACTCGGCACTTCCTCAAACCTACAACAGAACACCTGTTTCTCCACAAATAACTTCGACTACTGTGCCTTTTCTGCTATGTACCCCGAGCACTCTGAGGGTTTATTTCACATGCTCACGTACGCAAGAACACCCAAATTTCAGTACACCAATCGAACTAGAACAGATGTAACATGTTATTTTACAGACAACACCCAGATTAACTCCTGGGCACTGCCCGACCCGCGCAGGGAGGGACACGCAGCCACCCCCAGGCCAGGCTCAGAGACCGCGGAGCCTCACGGTGGCACCGCAGCCTCCCGGCGCTCACCCTGGGCCCTCTCCCGCGAACACCCAGCGGCGGTGGCGCTGCGGGCCGGGAGCACGGACGCGTTACGAGGCTCCATCGCCAGCGGAGCCCGGCCGGGCCGCGGCCCCACCGGAAGGGCCCCGCGCCTTCCGCTACCGGCGCACAAGCTTGCCGCCCTGCCTCGCCATTGGCCGTGCCAGGGCGCCGCTCGCCACGCTGATTGGACAGCGGCGCCAGGCCCCGCCCCTCACACAGGAGGGCGGGTGGGCGGGGCCCCAGGGCGGGTGGGCGGGAGTTCTTCGCTTCTATGGGGTTACTATCAGCACTTAGAAAATTTATTTTTAAAAATCAGTTTGTGCCTAAACTCGCAGCTTGCAAGAGGATTTTATCCTAGGCCCTACGGCTCGCAAAGCAGGTTGACAGAGTAATGCTTAAAAAAAGGGGGTTTGGCTCCTTAGGGCAAGCCACGCCCCCCCACTTCACTGGCAAAAAAGTCTCCTGCTCCCGTATTTATTAATTTACTTTCATTAAGAGGCTAGGAAAGCACACAGCTCAAAGTTTGAAGATGTAGAAAGCAGTGAAACAGCGGGGAAAGGGCAAGACGAAGAAAGCAGGGGGAAAGACAAAAGAAGTGAAATAAAGTTGTGACTGCAGAGCGCAGAATTGTCAGGGCAAAGTCACCGTCCGTGAAAAGCACACACAGCAACAAGTACGGAAAGGCTGAGCTCAGGAGAACAGCCCGAGGCAAACACCTGCATGAGCACTGCTTGGACTGCCCTGGGCAGAGATTTGGGGAGCACACTTGAGGCAGCATCTCCTCTGCCCAGTAGCCAGCCACAGCAGGATCAACAATGTCCCTGGAATTATGGAGGGACCAAGGGGAATAACACTTTTATTTCAAGCAGGACAGCCAAAGGAGATGAAGGAGGTGAGCAGGGTACACCTGCCCAGTGTCCCAGACAAAACCAGGATATCCCAACCATTCCTGCCTCCCAGAGCACCCACTGTGCCTTTTCAGGCACCTTCAGGGCTTTCCTTCAGCAGCAAAGAGAGAGAAATCCAAGCTCTGGCTTCTCCCTTAAAAAGGGACCAGAGCACTATTCCAGCTGAACACAGCACCAAAACCACAATGCTCCTCCTGGGGCAAAATGAAAGCTCTTGACAAGCCAAGAACACAGGGCAATCCTCCCTTGGAACTGAGGAAATTGATGCAGCTCTGCAGAAAGCAGCAATTTTAACTTGAGCCAAACCAGCCATATTTCTCGCTGTCAAGATTTCTCTCGTCAAATAATCCTTCTCACACATTCCACCTGAGGTGTTCCTTCAAAACAATGCACTTTCTTCACCAGATTCACTTCAAAACTGTAGATCATCACCTCACAGGTACTTGTGGGCACTCTTCCAGCACAGGTTGCTGCTCCTCTCCCTGCTAGGGCCTGCAAGAAGTTGTGGGTCAGTTCTTGTCCCATGCTTCCCAGTGACCCTGAGAAGGAAAAGTCCAACTCTTATTTAGAATCACCACCACAGGTTTGGGTCACAATTGGATTAAGTGTTCTGTAAATTACAGGAGATGGTCCTCAGCCTACTGCAGCTGATTTGTCTGTCTCCCACGATCCTAACAGAGACCTCCTCACTCCACACCCCATTCAGTGAACACTGAGCTGGGAAAGCAAAGACAAGGGATATTTTGAAAACATCCCTACCATGATGCTGTCCAGACATGGGACAAAGCCCTTCCCACCACCCTGCTGGCCTTTTCCCACTCTGAGTACCTCTGGAAACGCACACCCAAAGCCAGGTCAGACACACAGTGATGTTTTCTACCTACCAGACGCTGCAGCCACAAGCACCAGGAGCCTCAGAATACCAATTGAGTGAACCCTGCAGGGAAAGCCAAGTGGTTAGTGCACAAACAAAATAAAAGTCACCAGTTTTAATAGTTAAAGTATCCCTGGGAGTTACTGGCTGCTTACAGCAGCAAGCTTCATACACTTACAGTTCTGTTAGGAGCACCAGTCTCGGGTTTTTTCCTTCTGAAGCCCAGCTCCAAACGGGAAACTCCTCACGACTGCTCCTGAGAGAGGGAAGAGGAACTTGCAGAGCTCAGGAAAGCGACTCCGCGCCCTGAGCCCTGGTTCACCTGCCCGAACACCCGCAGTGCTTTTGTACCCCCTCACTCCCTGTTTTCCGCGTTCATAGCAATAAAACAAACCCAAGCTCGTTTATATTAATAAAACAAACCCAACAAACCCAAGCTCTGCCGGCAGCCCCAAGCCGCTCCCTCACAGCGCCGCCCCGTCACTGCCCCGCCGCCTGCTCCCCACAGGGCTCTTCTCGCTCCCCGCTCACCTTCAGCGCGGCTGCGGCCTCCACACCCGCTCGGCTGCTCCATCATCCCACGGAGCCCGGACACTGCAGGTCCCCGGCAGGGCAGCTCCGGGCCCGGGCGCTCCCGGTACCGCCGTCCCACACGGGCGGGACCGCCGCCCGCCGCTCTGCAGTACCGGCCGCTCCCCACAAAGCGGCAGCACTGCACGCCGGAACGCCAGAGCGCATGCGCATCAGAGGGGTGGTCTTTTGCCCTTAGACACCACGTGATGCAGGGCGTCAGTTCTGCACTGCGCATGCTCCGATTTGCCCTCACATACAGCTCCGCGGTCAGTGCGTATGCGCACCCTGCCGCTGCAGTACCGCATTGCGGCCGGCAGGTGTCCCCACTGCCCCCCGCGATGCAGTGCGCATGCGCCGCTCCAGGTGCAGTGGCGCAGCGCGGCCGGCAGGCGGCAGCAGCAGCGAGGCGCGGCCCGGTCCGAGCGGGGAAACAGCGGGGTCGGGGGCTCGGAAACGGCGGGGGATAAACTGAAATAGTGCTCGTCTGCTCTCGGAAATAAATGCCTGCTCGCTCTCTCCCAGCAAGGGCTTCTCCAGGTGGGAGTGCTGGGAAACGGGACTTGGCGCCGTGTGTTTGTCCCGGCTGTAGCTGCAGGGGCACAGCAAGGCACGCAGCTCTCAGCACTCCCTGCTCCAAACACAGCCATGGGCTTCTCCATAAGCTGTCTCTGCCCTGTGGTTTTCTCCAGGAAAAAATAGAGTTGCTCATAACAAGTGGGAGAATGAATTTCCACAAAGGAAGTAAGGAATAAAATCCTGCTCTAGGAGCCCCTGGGATCTGCAGGGCTGCTCAGGGAAGGGGACATTCACTCCCTGCAGTGCCCCCAGCCCACCTGCAGCACCAGCACAGGCTGCCAGCTGGGCTCTGCCAGCCCCTCTCTGTCACCCTCCCTGTGCTGCTCCCTCTCAGTGCCCTGAGCAATCCAGCCCTGAGCCTGAGCAGCCCAAAGCTCTGGCTGGCAGCCCAGGGACAAAGGGACACTGCCAGGGATGAGGCACATTCCCAGCAAACGCTCCCAACAGAGCACAGAGGCACCCCTGGAGCTCCTGGCTGGGGCTGGCAGGAGGGCACAGCCCCGGGGGGTGGCAGTGGCAGTGACAGCAGCAAAGTGCCACGGTCTGGTGGCACAGCAGAGACACCAAGGCAGCAGTGCCCAGGGAGGGGCAGGTTTACCTTCAGCTCCCTGTGGTGCAGCATCACCTTCCACCACAGCCACATCCCGGGGAAAGCGTCAAGGGGGCTCATAAAACCTCAGGATGCAACAAAATACAGCATCTCTCACCCTGATCCTGTTCCAATAAGCTCTGCTGAGAACAGCCACCTCCCCAAGGCCTTCAGGCCTCCCAGGATTTTGTAGGGAACAGACCCAACTCCTCATCCTTAATCTAAATTCCAAGCACATTCTATTAGAAAAATAGCAGACAGCATTTCATACAAAATGATGCAACAGAACTACAAGGAATAACAGGATATACAAGGAATAACGGAATATTTTCCATGAATAACCAAAGTTTATTTTTCTCCTTGTCTATCTGGGTCTGTAGGACCTAATCTTTGCCATTGAGACACAGCTCTTAAGGGTTAAACCTCTCAAACCTTGCTCTTTCTCAGAGAACTGTGCCAGCACTGAGCTACTCCCATGTGCCAGGATGGAAAAACTCAAGATAATAAGTAGTGATTTCTCCTCTCCCTCTCTGACCCATCACCAAAGCAGTAGTGTCGAACAACACCAACTCCAACACCAACAAACCCTTTGTGAGGAACCCAGCCTTCCCTGGGACACCCAACAGAGCAGGCATGGAAAACGAAGGAAAAACTCCACAAGTTTGTAGGAGGAAAGATTAGACCAGTCTCCCCAGCTTCTAGAGGTAAAACCTCTTTAATCTTTCGTGCGCTAAACCTACAGCTTTGATTTTCTCTAGAAAAACAAAACAAAAGCCCCACAAAAGCCTAACCTGGGTGTGACAAGTAATGAAAGATGCTCCAAGCGCTTCCATCCCTGTGCACGAAGCAAACAGCCTGGCACCCCCCTCCCTGACACCAGGACCAAAGCACAGAGGCCAAGGACCAGACAGGAGCAAGGAGCAGGCTGTGGGACCCACGTGTGCTGCACAGGAGCAAGCCCCAAGCCAGCAGCTAGGAAAGCACAGTGAAAATAGGCACCGAGTTTCTTGGTGGCAACAAGAGCAAAACTGCAGGGAATGGCAGGAGAAAGAGGAAAAGGCTACAGGAACAAATGAGCAGAGGAAAAGAACACATAACCCAGCTGTCAAGCCAAAGCAAGCACAGCCCTTGAGCCTCCCCTGCACACACAACATCCCAAATCCAGCGCTTTCAGGGTGTGTGTTCCTGTGGCCCACCTGTGGTGGGGGGAGCTGGAACAAGGCACAGTCATTGGAGCATCCCCTGCCTGAAGGACAATTGGCCAAAAATTAAAAAAACCCAAGAATTCTTTTGAAACTGTTTCTCTTTGGTAACTATTTAGCTCATCTTAGCTGGAGTTCACACTTTACTCAGAGCTATCTCGGCCAAAAGAACCCTTACCCAGCAGATCATGAACTGCAGGAATCCACAGGCAAATCCATTTTTCAGATTCCAGCTCCATTTGCTTGAGGATTCATAAGAAAATGACAGAGCACCCCTCTAGGAAAGAACACTTTAACACATTTGATTCATTTAAGCCAAGCATTTTCCCCAAACTACAATTAAAAAAAGAGTAAAAAAAGGACAACCAATTACTTCTTGTGTTGACTATTGTAAGACACCTCCAGGTGGGAAAACATTGCTGCCAGCCCAACAAAAAAATCCCCTGTCTACAGCACAAAGGTAACCAAACACCTCAGTCTCTTAAAAAGATACTTTACACTGTATTAGGAACATTAGGGACACAACACCTGGAATTTAAAAAATTGCTTAGTTTCTGTACTTGAGGGATGACTTTCAGGCCCAATGGCCTGAGTGGTCCCCAGATGCAAAATCCACACCCCTCCAAATTTGACACAAACACCCATGGGCAAACACCTATGATACAAATGACACCTAACACCTATGAAACAAACACCTGCCTACCTGCTGGGCTTTTTCAGAAGCCTGCATAGCCAAGGCTGGAAATGCTCACAGGATTAAACAGTAATAAGCCAGGGGGGAAAACAAACACAAAATAAAGGGATTAGTACAGCATCATCTTAATGTTCTGCCCAGTGATGGACAGAAAGAAGAAGAAAAGCTGTTCTTGCTGTTCTCCCAGCTCTGGACCAAGGGTTTCAAGCAGCCAATATCATCCCCAGCTGGAGCTGTGGGGAGGCTCCTCCTTCCCTCAGCCTGGCTTGACTCCTGAGGGGCCAGGGGCTCCCACACCCTGCCAGGATGGACCATCTGCACCCACCTGGAAAGCCCACACTGAGCACTTGGGTTTAAAGATGCTGCACTTCATGTCACAGATGTAGGAATGCTTTGGGATTTGGTGTTTCTAGTGCCTCCAGCCACTGAAACACAGTAAAAGAATGAACTGCAGAGGCCTGAAGGTCAATTATTCAGTTTATATTTCGGTGGAATCACTTGACATAACACCCAATGCAAAGCATAGAAAATGAAAAGCAACATTTTCTCCCTCACTTTTAATTTTCTAATTTAGCTGTCCTCCTAAAAACAGGATTAAAAAAAACCAGAAACAAAGTGCAAGACCTCCTGTTAACGAGTGTGCCAAAACACCTTTCTGTGTGTATTCTAAACAGAATATGTTTCCATTAGATCTGATTACTTTCCTAATAACATAAATTTATATGTGTAAAAGTGCCTCCAGTAGGGGCAGGTGTTTCTGAGCCCACGCCTTGCAGCTGAAGGATCAGAGGAGGAGTGGCACAGAGGGATCCAAAAGTGCCCAAGAGGGGTTCAAGCTGACTGTGTTTGGGCAGGATTATTTGCACCCAATGTTCTCTGCAGCTGCCCCAAGCCTGGAGTTCACAGAAACAAAATGAGCTCCCCCTCCTGCCTCTTCTTCTGCCCTCTCTGATCAAGGGAGAATCACACAAAGCAAATGACAGTAGAGAAATGCTAATACCTGTGTGGCACCCCCAGGATGGCTGGCACCAGGGCTCATTCCCTCCTCTGGCTGATGGAACTCAAACCCAGGTTTGGTTTGGATCAGTTCCATGTGGGATTTCAGGAGCAAACATCTCTGTTTGGACACAAGGGATTAACAACCTGTGGTCCCTGTGTCCCAGCTGTGGACTAAAAGACTCCCATTATTTTCCTTGGGTATGTTCAGGGCCAGATTACACAACACTAGGAGCAACCCAGTCCCATGGAAGTTGTCCCTGCTCGTGGCAGGGGCATGGACTGAGATGAACTTTAAGGTTCTTCTCAAGCAAAACCATTCTGGGATTCTATGATTCTGTGAAGAGTCAATCCTGCATAATAATAATTTAAAAAATTAATTTAAAAGGCATAAAAAAAAAAAAAAGTGAGGTTTTTCCTGAATTAGGAGCTTGAAACAGGATAGCACATGAGGTATGGCAATGGCTGAACTATGCAGCACATGTGCTCCTGGCCCACAAATGCTACCAAAGACATTTGACACATGCTAGTAAATTATGCCATAATCATCTCACAGCACTAGAAAAAGGGGAAAATCACACAGGACAAGGAAGCCACTCAGTGGCTCTACCGTTCACCAGCTATGCTGACAACCTAAGTGCTATAAAAATGTTTTTTAGCTCCTCGTAGCAAGATCCCCCCCCAAACTACTATTTATGGTAGCTGTTAATGTATTTTCCTCAAGAGGCCGGGAAAGCACACCAGTAAGTGTTTGAAGATGTGCACACCAGGGAACCAGAGAGAAGCAAGGGCAGGAACAGAAATCAGAGGGAACCAGACACAGGACACGACAATGCACGACTGCAAACACCAGAATTCCCGGGGCAGGCTCAGCTTTCACAGCAAGCACACCAGGGACACACCGTAACAACACAAAACATCCCGGGCAGAGGAGCGCGTACCCTGTGACAGCGCCCACAGCCAAACAGTCGCTTGGCTTCACTCCCTTCGGCCCCGGGAGCACACCTGGAGGTGACCGGCCCTGCCACCGACA